GGCAAGGGATGACCAGCATCAGAAGACATCAACTAAAAACAGTCTGGATCGGGGTATCTCATCGGCATCCGGCGCTCGATGTCATTCTGGCGGTTTTCTAAAAGGCTAAAAGCTTAAAAGCGTAAAAAAGCTAAAAGCCTAAAACTGCCACGGGGCCGCCACTGGGTAGGGCAACCAGCGCCTTAAAAACACCAATAAATTACAGGGGACAACAAAAGAGAAAATAGGATGTGTCCGTGCGGGTCATAGGGTCAAAACTAGTGCTCCCCTGGGGTACACTGAGCAGAGCACCCCAGACAGCGCCCACCGGCTCACGAACTGAAGGAGCTCGCTGGCAGCTACTGCCCAGTGGTACTCTGCCCAGAGACACGCGCGAAGGACACCGAGGAAAAATGCCCCGAGGTCTCCAGGAACCTTCCCGGCCAGAGCCTCCTGCCTGGCCTGCCAGATGACAAGCTTGGCCAGCGCCAGGAGGTTGACCAGGAGGTCCTGGGCCTTTGTGGGGCCAGGGAAGAGCTGTGATCTCCATGCTCCTGCCGGCAGAACCATTTGGAGCCCTTGCTGTCACCATCCTGAGATCCTGGGGTCTCCATGGAGACCGGCTGGGAGCCACGTGGGCAGGGAATGTGACCAGGTGGATGGGGAGCTGTGTCCAGGCCTGGGACAGAGCCACAATCTGCTCCCTGGATGCCTCTGTCTGTAGAACCTGCCCCGTAGCCAGGCATGCATGCAGCAGATTATGGCTCTGCCCTTGGCCCTGGCCCCATGCTGTCACCGCCCCAAGGTCCTAAAGTCTCCCCAGTGCTGCCCAACCATCACAATCCTGCATGCCACACCCCACTGGCCTGCAGGCTGGCCGAGCACCCTGTTCATATGAGTCCTGCCCCCAGCAGTAGGAGTGGGGTGGACAGGCCGGGGTGTACAGGCAGCAGGGCTGGGTCCAGCAGTGGCAGGCAGAAGGAGCTGCTATTGCTGGGGCTGCAGGGAAATGGAATCCAGCCACCACACTGCCCCAGCCCTGCTGCACATCTGGGGGTGGTGGGACTGGCTGCACATGCCAAGGCCTGGGCTGCCCCCTGCATTTGGGCTGGGTGGGACTGAGGGACCTGCCTCAAGCCAGACAAAATCCCCTGGTGGTCTGGATGTGGCCCACCGGCTGTATTTTTCCTACCCCTAGTGCAAAGGATAAATAAAGTGAGTGTATAGAAAAAAAAAAATATACATGCCTAATCCTCCTCCAACTTTCCAATGAGTTCTTCTTAAAAGGTCACTTTTGCTCTAGATAGAATGAAGCCTTTCCATCCAGGCTTACTTCATTGTATACACCACTGGCTACATTCACCATTAGGATAAGCACATATAGAAGTATTTTATCCTAGTGCTATTGGTCCAATGCTCAGTCATCCAGTTTGTCCAGATCCTCTGTATTGACAATACCTACCACTCCGTCATCACTACACTCCTACATTTTGTGCTAACACTATGATTACGCAGTTCTCTTTTTAAAATATATTTTAGAACAGTATCTTAGTACCAGCATCCAGGTCCCTTTTCTGCAACTAGAACCCATTGCTCTGTGTTAGAGTTGTTTCCTCAGCCTCATGTGTTGAACTTATTTTTGTATTTGCATCCTCCTATGCATAAAATATTTGGATTACTGCCCTGATGTTTTACACTCTTGACATTTGACAGAAAACATGTTAAATAATCATAGAATAAAATTATAATTGGAAGGGACCTCAGAATGTCATTTAATCCAAACTCTGCTCAAAGCAGGAAATCCCAGCCAAGGCTTTGTCTCACCAGGTCTTAAAAACCTCCAGTGCTAGAGATTCCTCTTTATTACCCTTCTAGTGAGGAAGTTTTTCCTAAACTTCCCTTGCTACAACTTGAGACCATTGCTCCTTGTTCTGTCATCTGCCACCACTGAGAAGAGTTTAGCTCCATCCCCTTTGTAACCACCCTTCAGGTAATTGAAAGCTGCTATTAAGCCCCCCTTCAATCTTCTCTTCTCCAGACTAAATAAGCCCAGATCCCCCCACCTGTCCTCAGAAGTCATGCACCCTACCTTCCCTAACCATTGTTGTTGCCATCCACTAGACTCTCTTCAACTTGACCACATCCTTTCTGTAGTGGGGGGCCAAAACTGGACACAGTACTCCAGATGTGACCTCACCAGTGCCAAATAAGAGGGGAATAATCACTTTCCTCAATCTCTTGGCAACACTCCTAATAATGCAGCCCAGCATCCTGTTAGCTTTTTTTGTAACACAGGCACACTGTTGGCTCACATTCATTTTATTATCCACTATAACCCCCAGGTCCTTTTAAGAGAGCTGCTGCTTAGCTAATCGGTACCCAGCCTGTACTGGTGCATGGGGTTGTTCTGTCTTAAGTGCAAAGACTGTGTTTCTCCTTATTGAACTTAATGAGATTTCTTTTGGTCCAATCCTCCAATGTGTCTGTGTTCCTCTGAATCCTAGCCCTACCTCCAGTCTATCTACTGCTCCCCCTGCCTTAGTGTCACCTGCAAACTTACTGAGAGTGCACTCTATGCCATCTTACAGGTCGTTAATGAAATGCTGCTCTGTATCAATACAAGTTATAGTCCCTGGCAGCAGTGCATAAAAGACTTGATGAAGGGGTTTTTGGACTGGAAAAACAGTTAAAAGAACTACCAAAATGACTGATCTCTTTTTGATATGTGCAGTATTAAAAGGGCAAAGGAAATAAAGACTCCGAGGGAAAAATATGCCCTGTGCTGCTGAACTTCACTTTAGATGCACCAATTTAGCCTACCACAGTCACCACTTTTGAACCTGCCAATCTTTTAAAAAAATGATGGTACCAAATTCAAAGACTGCTTTATTCAAAGAGCATACTACATATGGTGCTCAGTGCCAATCCAATTATTACACTGCATGTATTGAGTCTCTCCATGCAATGGAGTTTCTTGCATGCTCACTTAGGCTGCAGACACTTGTTTAGGAAGGGTCACGACTCGTACAGAAGCCATTTTTCCAGCAGATGATTTGTTGACTGCTCTGCCCGACCTCTATATTCACAACCACTACACCAAAAACTGCAAACTGGTCAATACTTTAGCCATAAAATTCACCTGTGTCCAATGTACAGTGCTGGGCACTTCGCTGATCTTTCCTTCAGGCACCTGGATCATCAAGCTCTCCTGGGCAGGCTGAGAGAACCATTTTCTTTTTGGCTGCTTTTATGACTAGAGTAGTTGTGCATGGGCATGTCTATACAAGATGCTTTACTGTGCAGTAGACTAATCTATGAAGCAATAAAGCATCACTGTCTGCACATGCGCACATTTACTGTAGTAAATTAGCCTACTGCTCAGTTAGCTACTACCTGTAAGTACAGGTAGTAAAGTAACCATGCAGCATGTACTCCACAGTAACACGTGTAGACATTGACCAGGAACAAATTGGCTCTCTGTCAGCCCCAACACTAGGGGGCCACACATAATGAAAACTCTCATAGTATTCATAAATATACTTAAAATATTCATTGGACTAGTAGTGTCTTGACTACTAGGCTACAAAGTCACACTCCTGTCTTTGGCCCAGCAATACCTAGCCACTGGATTGTTGAGGATAGGGACATGCCCCCTCTGCCCATTACATGCCCTTGAAATGTCTATCCAGATCACAATTCTTGGTACTGTAAGCATATGCCCAGTATGAGTAATTTAAAGTACTTCCAGAGTAATGTGGCAGACAAGCAGGTGTTTTGGTGATCTACATTTTGCATTTAGGCACTGAAGTCCCTTAGCAGCTGTCTGCTCTTGGTTCTGCTGAATCATTCTCTGTTCTGCACATGGTAGCAGAGGGCTGTAGAGCCCTGTTATCAGTTAAGATTAGCAGACTGTGGAACACAAAGTTTATTTTAAATGAGCTGATTTACAACAAGTTTTTGGTGCATCTGGCTGGAACTAGCTCACTAATTCCAGTTAAATGCAGCTCCATTTTGGCATCAGGCAAAGACGCACAGCCCTAGAACAGACACTAAATAGGAAGGGTACCTGATACTTTCATGAACTGACAAACAGGACTTGGTGGACCCTGGTAGGGAAAGGGGGACAGAAGATACCTGGGCCTTACCCACTTTCTTTGCCACTTATGCCCTGGCACAGCAGATGCTCATAGGTAATGTTTCTGTGCTTTATCATGGGGGACTTTTATCCTGTGCACCAATGGGAGCAGCTGGACACAACAAGGCCCTAAACAAGTTGGGTTGCGTCACTGATCTATTAGGCCAGAGACACAGATGTACACCCTTAGCCTTTCCACCCCCCTTTAAACAAGCATTTGCTTCAAGAGAGAATTTATTCAGATATGGAGTGTTTGTAAGATAATGCATTTTCCACCACTGGCAGTACTTACAAGGCTTTGGAAACCCTCCATGTCTTACAGAGCATTAGATAGCTGTATTGCTGTGCAAGTTATCTGCTGACTAAATGATATAACCTTTTACATTGCTAGGCCATTGTGCCCTATTGTACTAGCCATCCTCAAGAATCTTACACGATAGTATGTCCTATATGCAGCATTCAGTACATCAGTGAAATAAGCCCATTACTACTCATGGCATGCTCTGTCAGGTGACATGCAGACCAATGTGGTATGGAACACTGTCTAAATGGACAGCCATCCTGCTGCAAAACAGCAGAGGGCACAGAACTGTTAACCAATGAATGAACCCATGTCAAATGCCTCCTCTTAAAATGCTACAGGATACTTACGGAAAATATCGATCCTCCATGGTGTATGCATGAGGGCCACCCAGACCTTCAATGCATATGCCTGGACAGGAATTATTGGAGGAGTGGAGGCTGCCCACAACTTCCCTCCTCCCTTTAGGCCACTGGGACAGAATCCAGAGACCAAACCGAGTTCAGAGGTTTGTTGCCTCCATGGCTATAGCTATATAAGTGTCCGAAAATCAAACCCGGGTTTCCAGTGTGGTAGACAAGGACGCTACCACTGACCTGAATCGAAGAATATTGGCAATGCCTTAAGTATCACCCAGAACTCCATGAGGCCATAACAAGGTTTTACACAATTCCAATGCACTGTTATTTTCAGCTGTGCTTAAAACTAACACTTACAGAGATAATTCATGGCGATTTCGCATCTAGCTTCTGAAGTTTTACCTAAACTCTCCAGCTATATGCATAGCAAAGTAAAAAAAACAACAAACCAGAGACAGTCTAACATACATTTGAGTAAGAGCGCATTTTAATTTTTGTATAGTTTAAAACAGCCCCCAAAAAGTTAGCTATATAATATCAATACAAAGTAAATGCATATTGTTTACAGCCAACTACATATATGCAAGAATAATAGCAAACCTCACATGAACAAGAAAGAATTTTCAATCCATCACTTGTGAGTGTTTAGCTATGACTCCTGGGGTATAAAATAAACTATGTTCACATATGCAGGGAAGGCAGATGCTTATAAATAGAACAATCAAAACCTTGCATGACTTTAGTTCTAAAAGAGACAGGTAATAAAAAGGAAGAAAAGGAGTTGGAAATTAATACATTTACGTAGTTACACTTCAGTGTTCCATTTCCAGAATAAAAAATAGCTTGCAAGAAAGCAATGACTTGAAAGTGTGTCTCCAATCTGTACTCTCTGGAAGCAGGGATTTTGTTTTAAATGCCAAGTCTGAGGAATGTTACATTTGTAATTATGACCAGCCAAAACAAAGGCAGTAAAAAAAAAAAAACCCCAACATTTCTGAATTGAAAGGAAATGTGTGGAGTGTTTATGTAAACAGGGAATTAGGTATATACAATGCTAATAGACCAATGGACAGACTAATGCTACAACTGTTTATGATACAAAGGAAATTAAAACCTTCATGAATTACTAGTGTAAACCTACTTAAGAACAAGTATGCAGTATCAAAAAAAAAAAAAAGATTAGAAAAGAACTGAACTAAACATCTTGCAGTCAGTTTAAGGTTAGGCATGTTTTGGTGTAGAAAACTATGCTTAGCATAGTGCCATTTCACATTACTGGCAGACAAGGTTCTTTGGGTAGATGTGGTATCTTTTATTAGACCAACTGAGTAGCTGGAAAAAAGTTCTTTGCAAGCTTTCAGGTGCAATCACCCTTCTTCAGGCACAGGAAATCTGCTGTTCTGAGACTCCAAGGAATGAAAAGACCAGCACTGCTACAACCAAAAACCTATTTCACATTACTCTAAGATTTCTGTGTCCAGAATATCGATTGACTAATTTACAGGGATTATAGAACTGAGCCCTCTTCAGTGAGGGTGCACTTCCATGGGTCTCCAAGTTTCATCCAATAGTAACTGGTGCTAACTTATTGTTTTATAAGTATTCTTGTAATAATGTGCTGCACAAATACTTAAGAACTACCAAGGCCAGACAATTTGGGGGAGGTGGAGATCAATATTTATTGTGAGCAGCATATACTATAGTGCCATCTTCTGGCTGACATTAAGAGCTGTAACCTTATTTCACAATCTATTTCTTGAAAATCTTAACCAGCTCAAAATCAAGACAGTTTTCAATAAGGGTCTGTATATTTTGGCTAGGTGAGAGGATTGAAGCAATATCAAAATGCTACATTTTCCAGAAAGCTGATATTTCATCTTCTCTCTGTAGCAAAGAAAGTACATGGTGACATAACTTGGTACTAAACTACATTACAAACAATGAGAGATTATTACCCAAAACAATAAAATACTAAAACTAAATCCTCTTTCTAGTTTGCAATAAATGGTATTATTGAATATAGCATCTTTTTACCCCCTTTTTACTTTAAAAAGTAACCAAGAAAATTATATGAAGAATTTCAGTAACTTTGGGAAATTTTTCAGAGGTAATACACACACACAAAATGGTAGTTTAAATACAACCCCTCCCTCCAAATAATTTGGCTTCATAATTCTTTTTATACAAAAAGTTCACCACTGAAGAAGTTAGAAAAAGGTTGTATCTTAAGGGTTAAACTCCATTAAAAACAAACAAATGCACACATCAGAACATGAAGTTGATTGTCTCTCTCCAGTCCCTAACAAGTAAATACAGGAGGTATAAAAAAAAAAAAAAATTTCCATGGAAATACCTTAAGAGCAAGATTCCCTGGGATCTGTTGTTCCTCTGCAAGCCTCACACCCTACCTAGACATTAATGGAAGTGATGTGCATGCAATGAAGATCCAATAGGTCCAGTGGGACACATTTAACCCATTAACCCCAGGGTTGAATTCAGTCTTTTCTGTTTGCTTGCTAGTCCAAAAGCTACTTGGCTAGTAAACTTTGGATATTCTGAAGATAAACCCACTTTCTATATAAACTTAAAATTTAATAAGTAGTTTATTGTAGCCTTTACTTGTCTTTTGGCTTTTACATGACAACATTTACACATTTGGTCTTATTTGAATTTTGGTGACAGCAGCAAGATCTGATGGAGTCAACCACAGAGCTGGGAACTGGAAAGTAGGGTGCAAGTATTATGGTATGCAACAGATTCTCCCTGGAGATCACTGTAAATACCCCATTTAATAGATTTATTTAAAGTAATTTCTTGTGCTATGAATGTACCAATTACCAATTTAGTTTAATGTGTGCTTCCTATTACATATGAAAACCTTTAATATTAAGATGACAAAATGCTCAGTATCCTAAGGAAAGCACGTCAATACTGTGACATCTCTCTTGCAGGGACATCACAGTGGTCACTGTGCTCCATAGGTAGCCCTCAGAAGGAGTGGCAAGTGTTACAAGATGCTATTATACTAAGAGTCACAAGTATGTATTGAAATATTTCTGCCATGAGGTGGAGGATATTATAATGAACAACATAAAAAGCAACAACAAAACTGGTTGTTCAATATGCTTCAAGCTTTTTATAAAAAAATCTTCAGAACTACTGGGAAGATAGATCTTAGTAATCTACTGCACACAATATCTTATCTTGCGCAGCTTACATGGAAATTAAAACCATATGCTTTGTTTAAAAAGGACCTGCGCGTACTGAACACTTTTTCTGTTTCTAACTACACATGACCAATACTTAAAAGGGAGAAAGTCACAAGCCAAAAAGAGGCCACAAAGTGCATAAGGAGTCATTCATAAGTTAAAGCCACTGCACACCAATGCACAGTTTAAGTATGCTGAAGTACCACACTGGAGGATTTAACTATACTGCTTTATTATACCAGTGTAGCTGCATTTTATAGGTAGAAAAATTATAATGAACTTCTTATTCCAAAGGGCTATAGGCATTTTGGACAGTATTCAAGGTGCAGATGAAAGGCCTAATTGTGCATTTGAAAAGCTACATAACATTGGTAGAACATGAAACTCTCTGATACTCCAGGTGTATGGATTTGGAAACTAGTTTCAGAACAAGTACACCAGGTTAAATATTTGCTGTCAAATGCAATGTGCTGTTCTGTAACCAGTTTTACAGAACATTTTAAAATGAGTGCTTGAATATTGAGATAATTTAGAGAGCAGTTATACTGTCATCTGCAGTTCTGTGCAAAGCCTAGAGTTGAAAGAAAGGAAACAGCAACTTTTAAGGGGAATGCTTAAACAAAACATTCTTAATTACCATTTTCTCCATCACTGAGTACGTAGCCGGGACTTCACCGAAAATGTTCTACAACAGCTCCAACTTTTTATTATGCCAGAATTTGTCCACCACATGCTTCATTGTAGCTTTGGATCTGGTGAAGCACACCACCTTCTCCCCTTTGTACTTTAAGTATTACAGTTCTAGGCCAAGCTTGCAGGAAGTCGTTTTAGGATAGTAAAGCTTACTGTTAAGGAGCATATAGCTATGTTTGACTGAACCATTGATATTCTGCCTTTACATGCAGTAAGTCAGGCTTGCTAGAATTTATCAACTGGCTAAGAATTTTTAATGACACTACAAAATTACTGCTCAGTAATTCCTTTTAGTAGCATAAGTCACATATTGTACATCAGATTAAGAGAATCTATGATCTGTTCCAACATCAAATACATTGTATGGCCAATGTTTTGCTTCTGAAGGGGAGAGGACTTTTCTGATGAAGAAAATATGGAGGACCCAGCATAACTGAAAATCCAAGTACCCCCAAACCAGAAGACTGGCACCCTGCAGATTTAAACAGCAAGAGCTTCTTGCACAAACAGCTTACACCATACCCTCAATCCCAAAAGAAATATATCTTTTGTAGGGATAAAAACGCATCAATTCCAGGCCCCTGTGCCACATTCATTGAGGTAGTAACATGGAAAACCACACACCACAATCACTACCCTCAGTTACTTTATTGGATGGAATCCAATCCCGCAGTTACTTCAGATGGAATCGATTAGAAGTTTCAGATGGGAAAAGTTCTGAATTCATGCTTTAATCTTCTCCTAACTGGTTCCTTCTAACTGGTTACTGTGCAGTAAAAAAACTGTACTGAAGACCAATCACTAAGAGTAGAACAAGGTTAGCTCTTACAATAAATAGAACGTAATCCTCATCCCTCCAAATCACTGAAGCTCACTGTATTGCCTCATGTAAATTAACACAAATAGAGAAAATAGCAATTTTGAAGTCAGAGGTGTTTAAAGGCATTCCCTTGGGGCAGCTCCTCACATAGTCAAAAGAGACCATACAATAAGGCAACACAATTACTGATGGCTGCCTATAATCAGTCTTCTATTTTGTCCATAGCTGCATGTTTCCGATAAGTATTTTTCTTTTGCCCACCATACTGGCATTGACATTTGGTGGTCCACTGCAATCTTTTGGTCTTCCACTTTCTGACGGATAGCCTCATTATATTGCTATCCATTGAGTAAGTAGACTACTACTTCATAGGTTGACATCATTATAGCTGTGTTTGGAATCTGTCTGATCAGATGTGTAGTTAGACCACGGTAGAGGGATCCATACCCTTCTTCTCGCACAAGCAAAGACAGTGTTTGGAAAAAAGATCTGTATTTTGTTCCCTCTTCTCGTAGTCTTGTACGTACAACCTCTGCATAGAGAGAGCAATGATCAGTTATTTTTACCAGAATTTTTCAATCCATTTTTAGCAACAGATTTTTTTCAACAAAAAAATAGTTGAAAGATAGCATAAACATTTAATCCTCAACACTATGAAAATGTTTAAGTAACAAAAGACAACATAATGTTTATTACAGGTAGGAATCTGAAGAGACTAGGTCAATCCAATGAAGGCAAAGCAACCTGAGGACCCGTCTACAGTGGAGTCTGTTCCATTATAGCTACGTCAGCAGAGCCCTCCTAGATTAGACAGCGTATGCTGACAATTTCTCTGCTGGTATAGGTAAAGCAGGTCACTGAATGATGCAAGTCTACAACAAAAAGTTCCATCAGAATTGCTATATTTACGGCAGATTTTTTTTTGTTCACAGAACAATGTTGGCAAGACTTTTCAGTGTATATTTACCCAGAGATTTTGGCCACTCAGAGATGTCCAGTCAATGAAGTGCAGTTAAGGTGCTTAACTGGTTTTGAATTAGCAAAATACTGAAACAAGGAAACCTATACCCAGGTAACAAGGCTACTCCAATATACTGTAATTACAGCATGAGGGCGCAGACTCGATTAATTGAGTCTGCAGGAACATGGTAATTACTGTGCTCCAGCAGACTCCAGCATCATGTGCATTGCATCCCTGTGCTGAAAAATGGCAGTGGAGGCACCATTTTTCAGCACAGGAATGCTGATGCATATGACACTTTGGACACTTTAATTAAAGCGGCTCTTGGAGCCACTTTAATTAAAGCACCCTTCCTGCCCCATCTCCAGCACATCTATAAACGCCCCATATGCTTCATAGTAGGTAGGGTCAGAAGGGACCTGAGTAGGTCATCAAGTCTGACCCCCTGCCATGGGCAGGAAAAGGTGCTGGGGTCAAACGACCCCAGCTAGGTGATTATCTAGCCTCCTTCTGAAGACTCCCAAAGTAGAAGCGAACACCACTTCCCTTGGAAGTTGGTTCCAGATCCTAGCCACCCTGACTGTGAAGTAGCACCTCCTGATATCTAGCCTGAATCTACTCTCTGTCAGCTTATGGCCGTTATTCTACGTTACTCCTGGTAGTGCTTGGAGGAACAGGGACTCTCCCATAGGCTGCTGGTCCCCCTTGGCCAGTTTGTAGATAGTCACCAGATCCCCTCTCAGCCTCCTCTTGTGGAGTCTGAACAGGTTCAGGTCCTGTAGCCGCCGCTTGTAGGGCCTGCCTTGCTGCCCCCTGATCATGTGAGTGGCCCTCCTCTGGCCCCTCTTGATGCTGGCCACATCCCTCCTGAAGTGCAGCACCCAGAACTGGATGCAGCACTCCAACTGCGGCCTGACCAGTGTCGCATAGAGGGGGAGGATCACCTCCTTGGACCTGCTCGTGATGCATTGGTGGATGCATGACAAAGTGCGGTTACTTTAATGTTAATTATGCAAGTAACTGCCTATGAACTACTTAATGTTACAATTAAAAACCAAAACCCAAGCAGAAACAGCTTCACACAATTGCAGTCAAAGATGACCCGGGTAACTATAGGCCCCTCAGTCTTACCTCAATCCTGGGGAAACTCTTTGAGAAGATCATCAAGGAGCACATTTGTGATGGGCCGGCATCAGAAATGATGCTCAGGGGCAA